ATATATATTTCTAACCGGATATACACTTGAAATATGCGATAATATAATATTCGCATCGAGAGCTTTCCACCTTTTGTTCACAATTTGTTCGGCTATTTGATGGTAAATATATTTACGTGTAACCGGGCGTTGCTCACGGTTGTTCCGATACAGATATAATATATTCCCGACTATATACAGGCCTACTAGTAGAGAGAATATAATACCTGAGCGATGGTGGGAGGCGGTTCCACCGAACGAGCGGTCCTTTTAATTTGCATTATATTATATCTCTTTATGTGAAAGCTATCGCAGGTTGTTTCCCTCTGGAGACCTTGCCGGCGCCGCAGAGTTTATATGGTTTTCATCTCAGGAGTACATATTGATTACATGACCCCCTCTACTACTAGAGAAGGAAGAAAATATGGCTGAACTGACTATTATGTATGTATTTATTTAGTATGTCCGGTACATACGTATGTACATTTTTTTTTTGGGAGAATATTTAAAAAAAATTATTTACACAGTTGCTATGTAATTACTGTATTTACAGTATTTATCATAGCCTCTTAAATTGACAATTGTACAATTTATTTACACATATTTATTTATTTAAGTTTTTTGTTTTAACTTTTTTATAAAAATAAATAAAAAGTATATACATATACGTACAACCGACCCACGGCGACACGGCGCCACCAACGGCAACAACATACGATCATTTTGGTTGATCATCATCGAACAATGACGCGGTATTAATTTTATTCACACATACTTGAAGTCGAGCAGAGGCCGAGCCCACTCGTGACTCGTCCCCGGCCCATCGCCACTGGCCACTCCGAGAGGGCCGAGGCCTGAGGGGCAAGGGCTTCCAAATATTTACATACTACATACATATCTACATACTCACTCTCTGAGCCTAGCCCGCACTGTCCACCCCAGGGGTCCAGAGAGGGCCAGACCGCCAGGAGCCCAAGAGGCTTCCTGCCCGTCTGGGAGTCCGGGAGTCTGGGTCTCTGGGACTCTGAGTTTGGGATTAATAACATAAAAGGCAAGGCGCCAAGGCGCCAAGGCCGCAAGAAGAGCCTCTCTCTGTCTCAGGCAGCCCGCAAGAAGAGCCTCTCTCTGTCTCAGCCAGCCCGCAAGAAGAGAAGACTCGAAAGTCAAAGGCCTCTGCCCTCTCTCTCTCTCTGTCTCTCACAGGGGACTCCAGGAGTCCAGGCTCTCAGCCAGCTGTCTCAGACTCTCAGAGAGTCACTCTCAAGGGGTCTCAGCCTCTCAGGACTTCATGAGCCCTAACTCCTAAGTCTGTCTCTCACAGTCCTTAACTCCTCACTCCTCCAGACGCAGTGTGAGACTGTGAGTGTCTCTCTCAAACTCTTTCAGCATTTTACTCAACACAGAGTCAAAGTCTTGATGGTCTCACCTGACTCTGAGAGAGGGAATCAGGCTGTCAGGGAGAGAGTCGACTCATAGATGATATTAGTATAGTACAGAATACATAACACGCTATAATACAGATAACACATGTCCCTCTAGAGAATAAAATAATATGCCTGATCGGAATATTGTCCGAAGGACAAAAACCATCCCAAATTGAGCACGGCAGATGCGGGAATTCGGGCCCTTGTCTCCTCTCTACGTATGTAGGCTACTACATACATACATACTCATAAAAAAATGTACTCTCCTTTGGTTTTAGGGGTTGTGCTTGTAAAATTATAAATAGTACTAGAGTAGGCCCTCGCTACTCTAGCAGAGTAGTAGAGAATAGCTAGTACTAAGTACATCGTGTAGCTGTTAGATATTCATTTACTCTCTCTCTTCTACTCTGAGAGCGAGGGAGAGTAGAACAGAGGGAGCACTCTGAAGTCTGAGAATGAGAGTTTACTAAAATGTAGGACAGCTGTAGGAGTGTAGGCCTGTACATAGGCTGTAGCCGTATGCCGTAGGGCTGTAGCCTGTAGTCACTCTCTATTCTCTACTAGAGAGAGAGAGTAGGGCTGTAGGCTCGTCTCACAGACTCACTCACTCACACCGTGCGCCGTGCGCATGCGGCTTACGCCCGCGGCGGCGCGGCCTGTGGGGCTGCGCCGTTGCGGGCAATGTACATTGTATTTACATACCATGATCAATGAAGGGCATGTACTATGCAGGCGTCATGTACAAAATGTCAGACTGTCAGTTGTCACTGTGTGGCTACGGAGTAAACATACTGTAACATAGTCTGAAAAAAGAAGTCACGTGTGAATAGTGATACATATAGCCTGCTGATTTATGTTTAACTGGAAGTTTGTAGTCTCAAGGTTTTAGGGCTAAGGGTTTAGTGTCTTGTTTTCGAGTGCATCATCGGCCCTTCTCCGAGGTCGCACAGGTAAATCCCTGTTACAGGTGTTGCTCTCTTCCAAGATTTAGATCAATATGTATTTATGTAGGATAAATATACATAGGGATATAACATTACTAAAAAAATAAGGAAATAGATGGGCATGT